ATGGGGAAATAACACCTATGTTACAGCTTTTGCAAGCTGAGCATGCGGCTAATACTGATCAAAATCAGAAACAGCTTGCAGCCCTAATATCAAATAGAATTTTAACTTTCCTGTCCTGTACGGTGGACCTATGCACATTCATGTGCCTAGATTTGATTGAAAAAGTTGGTTCTTCAATAAAAAAATAAAAAAAAATTAAAGTTTAGAGTAGGGAAAATTGCAAAGATTTCTTCCCAGGAAGCAAAAGAACATCTCAGAGAAAACTCAATGATTTGCTATCTCTAAACAATGTATGTAAAAAAAAAAAAGCAGGCTTGGATGGCAGCTATAATATCCTTTGCATTATTAAAGGGAAAACTATATGATGTTGGGTTCTTTTAACTGTAATTATTCTATTGCTTTGTTTTTAAAGGGTAACTCCACTTTCATTGAAAAAAATCTAGCAAGTAAAACAATTAAAAATACCATATACAACTGCTACACAGGCTGTATTGTAAATTAATGTTATTAAAAATTACCTTTCCCTTTCAAAACTGAAGTAGTCACTTTCTGTAAAATTCAATGTAATATGGCAACTTGGAGTTCTGTACACAGTTGTTCTGTACACAGGCAATTTCGTGCTTGAGTGAAGAACAGGCTATAAGCATTCTCTGCAGTGAATGTGTCATTTCTGGTGAGATACTCCATAAGGGTTAATCACTTCTAAAGGGATGCAGACACTGCAACTTTTCTCATCAGAGCACTCAAAGCGCATCAGTTGATTAAAATGAATTAGTTGCTTCCATTCAGAATCAGTATCCAAAGACACGAAGTAGAACAAGCAACTATTTGTTTTCAGAGCAGAAACAGATAGGAATCTGCAACTAAGTTTGTTTAAATCCTTGCAATGTACACACATACACACAAAGGGAAATATTGTTTTTTCTTTTTTCAACAAAAGTGGAGATACTTTTTAAAATGACTGTCATGCCAAAAGATTGGGTGGTGCCACAGCTAATTTGCTGACCTAGTATTTTTTTTACTAAAGCCAGAGAGTGCAAAAACAAGCTCACTTCTGCATAGAAACAAATCAGCTTCCAGGTTTCCAGCTTAACTGAACAAGCTGAGGTTAGAAACTGATTTGTTTATAAGCAGAAGTGAGCCTGATTTTACACTCTCCAGCCATAGTAAATAAACCCCAGTGTGTCTGTCTTCAGTACTTTTTGAATCACCAACCACGAAGAAAAAGCACTGTAAGTCTCAGAAAAGTGTTAGAATTCAACATCTCTAGATTTGCTCCAAGTCAGAGACTCAAAAAGGTTTAAAGCCAAATCATGAGAATGATATATATTCTCAAAAGAAAGTTCAACAATGGCAATCCCCATTCTTTTCTAATGATAAAGTCATCCTAAACTGATGCTTTATTTTCATTTTACAAATATTTTCATATTATATATATATATATATATATATATATATATATATATACACACACACACATATATATATATATATATATATATATATATATATATATATATATACACAGTGGGGATCGAAAGTTTGGGCACCCCAGCTAAAAAGTTGTATTAATGTGCATAAAGAAGCCAAGGAAAGATGGAAAAATCTCCAAAAGGCATCAAATTACAGATTAGACATTCTTATAATATGTCAACAAAAGTTAGATTTTATTTCCATCATTTACACTTTCAAAATAACAGAAAAACAAAAAAATGGCGTCTGCAAAAGTTTGGGCACCCTGCAGAATTTATAGCATGCACTGCCCCCTTTGCAAAGCTGAGACCTGCCAGTGTCATGGATTGTTCTCAATCATCGTCTGGGAAGACCAGGTGATGTCAATCTCAAAGGTTTTAAATGCCCAGACTCATCTGACCTTGCCCCAACAATCAGCACCATAGGTTCTTCTAAGCAGTTGTCTAGAAAACTGAAACTGAAAATAGTTGATGCTCACAAAGCTGGAGAAGGCTATAAGAAGATAGCAAAGCGTTTTCAGATGTTAATATCCTCTGTTCGGAATGTAATTAAGAAATGGCAGTCATCAGGAACAGTGGAAGTTAAAGCAAGATCTGGAAGACCAAGAAAAATATCAGACAGAACAGCTCGCAGGATTGTGAGAAAAAACAATTCAAAACCCACGTTTGACTGCACGATCCCTCCAGAAAGATCTGGCAGACACTGGAGTTGTGGTACACTATTCCACTATAAAGAGATACTTGTACAAATATGGTCTTCATGGAAGAGTCATCAGAAGAAAACCTCTTCTACGTCTCTCACCACAAAAATCATCGTTTGAACTTTGCAAATGAACATATAGACAAGCCTGATGCATTTTGGAAACAAGTTCTGTGGACCGATGAGATTAAAATTGAACTTTTTGGCCGGAATGAGCAAAGGTACGTTTGGAGAAGAAGGGGCACAGAATTTAATGAAAAGAACCTCTGTCCAACTGTTAATCATGGGGTTGGATCAGTCATGCTTTGGGGTTGTGTTGCAGCCAGTGGCACAGGGAACATCTCACGAGTAGAAGGAAAAATAGATTCAATAAAATTTCAGCAAATTTTGGATGGTAACTTGATGCCATCTTTGAAAAAGCTGACGTTAAAGAGAAGATGGCTTCTACAAATGGATAATGATCCTAAACACACCTCGAAATCCACGGGGGATTACATCAAGAGGCGTAAACTGAAGGTTTTGCCATGGCCTTCACAATCTCCTGACCTCAACATAATTGAAAATCTATGGATAGACCTTAAAAAGAGCAGTGCGTGACAGACAGCCCAGAAATCTCAAAGAACTGGAAGACTTTTGTAAGGAAGAATGGGCAAAGATACCTCAAACAAGAATTGAAAGACTCTTGGCTGGCTACAAAAAGCGTTTACAAGCTGTGATACTTGCCAAAGGGGGCAGTACAAGATATTAACTCTGCAGGGTGTCCAAACTTTTGCAGACGCCATTTTTTTGTATTCTGTTATTTTGAAAGTGTAAATGATGGAAATAAAATCTAACTTTTGTTGACATATTATAAGAATGTCTAATCTGTAATTTGATGCCTTTTGGAGATTTTTCCTTCTTTCCTTGGCTTCTTTATGCACATTAATACAAATTTTTAGCTGGGGTGCCCAAACTTTCGATCCCCACTGTATATATATATATATTTCCAGGATCTGTCTACAGAAGTCATCAAATAAAGTATATACTGTATATATACAGGGGTTGGACAAAAACAATGGAAATAATACATGATTTGCAGGTGCGAAAGTGATGACATGTTTCACATTGAGGGCCAGTTCACACTATAGAAACACAATCCAGATGCGTTTCGGATGTGTTTCTGCATGTGCATTTTTGACTTGTTTTTGACATGTTCTGGTACAATTTTGATGCTTTCTGGTTCATTTTTTCTCCACAATTTAAATAGGCACATGTGTGTTCCAGTACATTTTTGCTGCGTTTTGGTGCATTCCAGTGTGATTTTGATGCATTTTTACCACGTTCCAGTACAGTTCTGTGCAGGAAAAATGCAGCTTGTTCTACTTTTTTTTTGTCTGCAACTGGAACACACTGGAAATGCAAGCACTGATATGAACTATGATATTGAAAACCACATAACCTACTTTCTGTGTGTTTTGGATGCAGAAAAAAAGCACACTGAAACGCATATAGTGTGAACTGGCCCTGAAAGCAGAAGTGATGTAACAATCTTTTGCTTCTGCTGTGTGATGAGACACCTAGCTAACAGGTGGGAAGCCTCACTTTCATCATTCGCTGCATGCACTGCTAGTAATATGGAGTCATTAATAGTGTTGAAAATTCTTCTTCACCATCAGACACCCGGTGATAGTATAATTCTTTAATATGTATGACAGCAAACAGGCTCTGTTCACCAGACAGCATAGATGATGTGGAGGAAGGAGACGTTTTCATTACAAGTACCATAGCTTATCAGTAGTTTAATAAGCCATATATTTTGGTGAGTATCAGTGAATAGGGGGAGGTCTGTATAGAACAGGAGGTGTTGTTGTCACATACACATATTATTATTATTATACAGGATTTATATAGCGCCAACAGTTTGCTCAGTGCTTTACAATATAATGAGGGACAATACAGCAACAATACAGTTCAATACAAGAGGGATAGGAGGGCCCTGCTCCTTGGAGCTTACAATCTAAGATTGAAGAATTATACTATCACTGGGTGTCTGACGGTGAAGATGGATTTTCAACGCTATTAATGGTGGACTTTTATAGACATTTTGTTGCACATTTGTAAACTTTGTGATAAGTTTATGCACTTGTTTATTTGGTTTATTTTTAGCACAGTATTTATTATGTTTGCGCTGCTATTTGTTCAAACATTTACTTGTAGGGAGATGTGACATGTACATTCATCTTTAAGCAGCAGCACTATTTATGTTTAATTTTTCAGGTGTATTTATATGAGAACTCTTTTATGCCCATTACTTTTAGGCTCCATGCACACTGGGTGTTTGAATAACGCTGGTAGCGGTAGCTGTGTAAAGTCACGTTAAAAACGCAAGTTTTTAGCGTTTTTGCATTATCGTTTAGCTGTGTTTTTCTGAATTTGCATTTTTAGCGGTTTTTTTTTTTTTACACAAAAAAATGTTTGCTAAAAAAATGCCCAAAAAAGCTGCTTTGCCATGTTTTACCGCTTTTTGCTGCGTTTTTCAGCGTTAGAGCATTTTTATAGCTAAAAAATTCCTGCAGAAACCCACTAGTTCTGGGGGGTTTTTTTCCAGCCAAAGAACGCCCCTGCCAAAAAATGCTGATTACCGTATTTTTCGCTCCTTAAGACGCACCTAGGTTTTAGAGGCAGAAAACAGGGAAAAAAAATTCTGAACTAATGGACTGCAGACATAGTACAGGAGATGACCAGAGACTGTGGACACAGTACAGGAGATGACCAGAGACTGCAGACAGTACAGGAGATGACCAGAGACTGTGGACAGCACAGGGATGACCAGAGACTGCGGACAGTACAGGGATGACCAGAGACTGCGGACAGTACAGGGATGACCAGAGACTGCGGACAGTACAGGGATGACCAGAGACTGCGGACACAGTACAGGAGATGACCAGAGACTGCAGACACAGTACAGGAGATGACCAGAGACTGCGGACAGCACAGGGATGACCAGAGACTGCGGACAGTGCAGGGATGACCAGAGACTGCGGACATAGTACAGGGATGACCAGAGACTGCGGACAGTGCAGGGATGACCAGAGACTGCGGACAGTACAGGGATGACCAGAGACTGCGGACAGTGCAGGGATGACCAGAGACTGCGGACAGTACAGGGATGACCAGAGACTGCGGACAGTACAGGGATGACCAGAGACTGCGGACAGTACAGGAGATGACTGCTGACCTTTGGGGAGGGGGGGGGGAATGGGTACCTGAATTTGACAGGTACCCGCTCTTACTTCCGCGGAGTTGTTCTTTGACCTTACCTGTTCCTCTATCCAGACGCGCGCTGTCTTCCCGGCTTCTGTAATGGCGCTCGGCATGACAGCCGGGTGCCCAGTGCGCATGAGCGAGAAGCACTTGCGCTTTGTGATTGGTCTGGCGGCTTCTAGGATCTGTCATGTGTCCCAGGTACCGCCTTACCATTCACAAAAAGCACCACTTCTTGCGCATGCACACTTGGCACACGGCTGTCAAGCACAGCGTCCACACTACAGAAGCCGGTGAAGACAGCACGCCGCTGCATAGAGGAACAGGTAAGGTCAAAGAACAATTCCGCAGAAGTAAGAGCGGGTACCTGTCAAATTCAGGTACCCACTCCCCACCTCCCCAAAGGTCAGCAGTCATCTCCATAAGGTCCCGCTGCAGAGCTGAGCGGCCGGTCCGGTATTCTGACATGGCGGCGGTGGAAATACGGGACCGGCCGCTCCATATTCGCTCCATAAGACACACTGACATTTTCCCCCCTTTTTTGGAGGGAAAAAAGTGCGTCTTATGGAGCGAAAAATACGGTAAATCCTATGTTTGCATGGACACATAGGATAACATGCTGGGGAGTTTACTGTCTGCAGAAAAAAAATGGCAAAAGCTAAAAACAACAGCTGTAAAAAAAGTCCAGTGTGCATGAGGACTTAAGGTACATGGTATATTTTGAGCCTTAATAATTTAATTTTATATTTGTATTTATTTATTTAAATATTTTTGACACTTTGCACATCTTTTGTATGGTGATTTTGGATTTAAATACAGAGTCATGTCACAGCTTACTGAGTTTCAAAGAGTGCAAATTGTTGGTGCCCTCTTAGCTGTTGCCTCTGTGACTGAAGTTGCCAATTCTTTTGCTGTGTCATGAGGTACAGTATCAAAGGTTATGACGGCATATACAGTTACTGGAAAACGTCATCTAAGCGTAATCTCAATTGGTCAACTGACTGAGAGAAAAGAGACACTGCACAGGATTGTGAGCCGGAAAAAGAAAACAACTGCTACAAAAGTGACTGCAGAGCTCAATCTCAGTCTTCCAAACCCGTGTCCACAAAAACTGTGCGGAGGGAACCCCAAAAACAGAGAGTGGTACAACACCATTAAATTGTGGAATTTTCGATCAATGGTCCAAGTAATCGAGCCTCACACTGTTCCCAACCACTGGACATGTTTAAATGTGGCAAACACAGTCCGAAGCTTACGAACAGGACTGTCTTTTGCAACGGTAAAGCATAATGGTGCTGCAGTCATGGTTTGGGCAGCCATATCTTGGTATTCTGCAGGCCTTGTCGTTACCTTGAAAGGAAGAGTCACTGCCAGCGACTATGTACACATTTTTGCTGACCATGTGCACCCCACAGTGCAGACATTCCTGAGAGACAGCGCCATTTACCAAGACAATAGTGCTCGGATTTGCACAGCTGGTGTTGTCAAATTGTGGTTTGAAGAGAATGCAGACGAATTCTCACACTTTCCCTGGGCACCGTACTCCGCGAGACCTCAATATCAAAGAGTCACAATGGTCAATTTTGGAGAAAAAGGTTTGAGCTCATATTCCTCTGGCATCTCTGCGTGAACTGACATGATTTTTTGCATGAAGAATGGTATCAGATTCCATTATCCATCATCCAAGACTTATATTTGTTAATTCCCAGGAGAATGCAGGCCGTTTTGGATGTCAAAAGCAGTCCAACACCATATTAGGTAACAATTTCATTGTTTCATTTCACCGCATCCAATCTGCATGACATGTGAAATAACATTGCTTCCTATGGCACCTGTTCACATATGTCCAATGCACTGATGGTGCGGACTCAGTGCAGTTTGAAAAAGAGTCATGTACAATTTCTGAGCCTTCATGTTCAAGTGCGGATTACAGGCTATTGACTTCTGTGGGAACCGTTTCTAAACCACATATGTGTGAACAGAATAAAATCCTGAGCTAATCTTGTCCTGAACCTGGTGTAAACCTGACATGAACCGCTGAACAACTACTGTTGCAATTAGCTGTGAAACCTGAGCTTCAGTCTGCACCGCACATGTGTGAATCAGCTCTAACCTACACTGGCACAGGATCACATGACTAGAAAAGCACTTTGCTACACTGGCTTCTGCACTGTCAAGATTAGCTTTCAGCCACAAGCCAACATTGCCCTGTTCACTTGTCCTATACAGTATGCATCTCCATTTTCCTAAACAATTTTACATTTTCTATATAGACAAGTTGGATTCCAAATGTCAGCAATGCTCTTTGGAAGGGGGTTATAGAGTTAAATTGTTGAAACATTTATTTTTGGACAATTTTACACTGCAAACACTTTGGCCAGAAGGACTGCAAAAAGGATGTACAGTGGGGATCGAAAGTTTGGGCACCCCAGCTAAAAATTTGTATTAATGTGCATAAAGAAGCCAAGGAAAGATGGAAAAATCTCCAAAAGGCATCAAATTACAGATTAGACATTCTTATAATATGTCAACAAAAGTTAGATTTTATTTCCATCATTTACACTTTCAAAATAACAGAAAACAAAAAAAATGGCGTCTGCAAAAGTTTGGGCACCCTGCAGAATTTATAGCATGCACTGCCCCCTTTGCAAAGCTGAGACCTGCCAGTGTCATGGATTGTTCTCAATCATCGTCTGGGAAGACCAGATGATGTCAATCTCAAAGGTTTTAAATGCCCAGACTCATCTGACCTTGCCCCAACAATCAGCACCATTGGTTCTTCTAAGCAGTTGTCTAGAAAACTGAAACTGAAAATACTTGACGCTCACAAAGCTGGAGAAGGCTATAAGAAGATAGCAAAGCGTTTTCAGATGTCAATATCCTCTGTTCGGAATGTAATTAAGAAATGGCAGTCATAAGGAACAGTGGAAGTTAAAGCAAGATCTGGAAGACCAAGAAAAATATCAGACAGAACAGCTCGCAGGATTGTGAGAAAAGCAATGCAAAACCCACGTTTGACTGCACGATCCCTCCAGAAAGATCTGGCAGACACTGGAGTTGTGGTACACTATTCCACTATAAAGAGATACTTGTACAAATATGGTCTTCATGGAAGAGTCATCAGAAGAAAACCTCTTCTACGTCCTCACCACAAAAATCATCGTTTGAACTTTGCAAATGAACATATAGACAAGCCTGATGCATTTTGGAAACAAGTTCTGTGGACCGATGAGGTTAAAATTGAACTTTTTGGCCGGAATGAGCAAAGGTACGTTTGGAGAAGAAGGGGCACAGAATTTAATGAAAAGAACCTCTGTCCAACTGTTATGCATGGGGTTGGATCAATCATGCTTTGGGGTTGTGTTGCAGCCAGTGGCACAGGGAACATCTCACGAGTAGAAGGAAAAAATGGATTCAATAAAACTTCAGCAAATTTTGGATGGTAACTTGATGCCATCTGTGAAAAAGCTGAAGTTAAAGAGAGGATGGCTTCTACAAATGGATAATGATCCTAAACACACCTCGAAATCCACGGGGGATTACATCAAGAGGCGTAAACTGAAGGTTTTGCCATGGCCTTCACAATCTCCTGACCTCAACATAATTGAATAGATGGATAGACCTTAAAAGAGCAGTGCGTGACAGACAGCCCAGAAATCTCAAAGAACTGGAAGACTTTTGTAAGGAAGAATGGGCAAAGATACCTCTAACAAGAATTGAAAGACTCTTGGCTGGCTACAAAAAGCGTTTACAAGCTGTGATACTTGCCAAAGAGGGCAGTTCAAGATATTAACTCTGCAGGGTGCCCAAACGTTTGCAGATGCCATTTTTTTGTTTTCTGTTATTTTGAAAGTGTAAATGATGGAAATAAAATCTAACTTTTGTTGACATATTATAAGAATGTCTAATCTGTAATTTGATGCCTTTTGGAGATTTTTCCATCTTTCCTTGGCATCTTTATGCACATTAATACAAATTTTTAGCTGGGGTGCCCAAACTTTCGATCCCCACTGTATACATGCAATGAACTACATGGTGATTTTAGCTGAAGGTTTATGTTTTATGAAACATGGATCCTAATTATGTAAAAAGAGTGATAGAGAAGAGATATTCCTTTGTCCATAATTTGTGTTATCAGACAACAGAGTGACATATCACACCTGTCAGCCATTCTTTTCCACTTGAGAAGCTGTGTGCTTTGGTGACCATCAATAGGAAGGTTCAGTCTGTGTTTAAAGTACTTGATTATCCCCTGTTCCTCTAACAAGATGGGAACTCGATATGTGGAAGAGACATCATGAACGAAAATGACCTGAGGAGTAAAAAAATTAATCTGGTAAATAATTTGCTCGTAGTTTAGGTATTTACAGTGCATTAAATATATCTCTAATTGGTTTGTCTTTCCAATTTTTAGACTTTCAAAGATAAAAAAAGGAAGCGCATCAAGAGAAAAATATTGAGGCTGCCATCATACCTTCTTCTGTAACTGTAATATGCCTGGCTACAATGCTGACTTCTGGAGTCATTAAAGGGACCAGTGCAGACTTGTCCCCCCTCCCCCAAATGTAAAGTGCTAAAGTGCACCCCTCAGTAATGTGAGGTGCTGCTGTCCCCCCCCCCCATAATGTAAATAATTCCCCTGCTCTATATACAGTCAGGTCCATAAATATTGGGACATCGACACAATTCTAACATTTTTGGCTCTATACACCACCACAATGGATTTGAAATGAAACGAACAAGATGTGCTTTAACTGCAGACTGTCAGCTTTAATTTGAGTGTAATTACATCCAAATCAGGTGAACGGTGTAGGAATTACAACAGTTTGCATATGTGCCTCCCACTTGTTAAGGGACCAAAAGTAATGGGACAAAATAATAATAAATCAAACTTTCACTTTTTAATACTTGGTTGCAAATCCTTTGCAGTCAATTACAGCCTGAAGTCTGGAACGCATAGACATCACCAGACGCTGGGTTTCATCCCTGGTGATGCTCTGCCAGGCCTCTCCTGCAACTGTCTTCAGTTCCTGCTTGTTCTTGGGGCATTTTCCCTTCAGTTTTGTCTTCAGCAAGTGAAATGCATGCTCAATCGGATTCAGGTCAGGTGATTGACTTGGCCATTGCATAACATTCCACTTCTTTCCCTTAAAAAACTCTTTGGTTGCTTTTGCAGTATGCTTTGGGTCATTGTCCATCTGCACTGTGAAGCGGCGTCCAATAGGTTCTGAAGCATTTGGCTGAATATGAGCAGATAATATTCCCGAAACACTTCAGAATTCATCCTGCTGCTTTTATCAGCAGTCACATAATCAATAAATACAAGA